ATCTGTCTGGATATCATATTTTCAGTACAACTAGTTAACAGAATTGCCAATGGCAGCCAAATCCTATTATCATTTGATATATTTCTTTCTTTCTTTTCATTGACCAAGAGCCCTCCATGTGACCTGCAAATAACTGCCTTCAAATAATGGACCGCTCATGTGTAGTACCATCTACAGTGTGAATGTGCTTTGCTGCAAATAATATTCTGCTCATGCATAGTATTATTATTGTAGCAATGCTCTCGGGTGAAAAATGAAAAATTGCTTTCCTGAACTGTCAGAGAGTGATTTAAATATGAATACAAACTTGGTGATCGAATGATAAAAATACACGGTTATCACAAATTATTATCCAACTGCAGCAAATACCATCCAAATAACAGTACAAATATACAGCGCTATTGCACAGTTATTTGTACAGTAGAAACCTGTTTGCCGGACAGGTCTGCGCGTGTATGCAAAACTGTCACACTCTCCCTCTATCACTGATAAATTTATTGAATAAAGCAGTTGGATAATAAATCTCTTATTACATGTTTTGGTGTGTAGTATCACTTTATAATTTTACTTGTTGTTTGTATTTTGACTCGCCCTATGGGCTTGTCAAAATACGGCACAACTCGTAAAAATATACAGCAGTATATAGCATATAAAAAAATTAAAACCTATTAATATCAATCAGAAACAAAAAATAATAACACAGAAATGATGCAAAACAGAATGATGTAACAAATAGTGTAACTAAGTATTGTTAACATATTCCATCTCAATCTCAGTACTATGCAGTCTTAATTAAAGTGATTCCACTTAAAAAGAAGGAGTATTAAAAAAATTCTCAAACTTCATCCAGTTGGTAATCATGTTATATATATCAGGAAAATGCAATAAAAAATAGGGGTCACCGTCCTTGTTTTCTGCACAACATGGATGGCCTTTATAGCAACTTTGCGACTGATAAGGTTGTCAATACTTAACCTTAGCTAACAGAAAGGGGCACTAGAAATTCTAAGAAAAGCCCTTATTGGATTAATTTAATAGAGTAGTTCAGCAAAATAGACCCTGAACTTACATTTTAAATCATGTTAGTTAAACAGGAGTTGCAATTATACTACAAACTTAAGAATTCT